GTATATATATATATATATAAAATATATATATATAACACGCCGACGTGGACGAATATGGTGATGATGGTAACGATGATAAAAACCATATAAATACTGTGTCCCTATAATGATGGCACGACTCCTTTCACGAAGGAAAAATAATATTAAAGAAGCTGAAAGTGGAACAGGAGTTTAAATAGATGCACAGATAATACGAAGAGGCTATAAATGATAGAAAGAAATGATATATTGCGTATGTTAGACAATAGAGAAAGACAGATGGAAATATATATGGTAGTATTGACAATAACAGAGACATGAGCGCGAGAGGTGCAGAGAGACTGGAAACGTCGATTTTAATTGTTATAAAGACCAATGGTGCGTGATGGCGCCGAGACCCTTGGGAGGGTACGTTGTCAGACATGTACGAAAGCCGAACGAAAAAACAAAATTGAGTGAAGTTGTCGCAGAGTCAGAGTCTATACATTTCACGTTGAAGCTTGAACGCTGATGCGGGAAGCTGGTTGGTTTGACCCTGTCGGTAATCATACGATTGATCATTAGTAAGTAAAGTATATTAACGGTAATAATTCGTACTATAGAAAAACAATGGTGAAACTGTGACCGCATATGAGAGAAAAGAGCGAAACATCGAATTATCATCATACCAAGATTCATCCGTTGACGACAGATGGACAACGGGCGCCCCGGGGCAACCCGCAACAACTACGAGACAAACTCAACAACTTCGACAACAACATCAAGATAACATATAAATATGAACAACAACAACAACAACAAAAAACAAGAACATTTGCATCTACCGCTACAAGCACAAACATCAATTTATATATTATTGGCCTGCTACTACCTGAATATATTCGATCATATTTTACCCGATCTCCTATTGGTTTTATTTCTGCTTATTAAATACGTACAACATTTTGTCTTGTGTACGCCCATACATATTCTGTAACCTTGTATTTAGCGATAGGAATGATAGAGAAAGGTGGGAGATACGGGTGTTCTAATAATAAGTCCAAATTGGTAAGGGCTCGCGTTGTTGGCATTGACAACAGCTGATCAGCAAAAAATGATGTGAACTAGTTTAGGGTAAGGTAATCAAAACTGACATACGAAAATGTGGTCGGCGTCTCAAAATGTTTAATAGTCATACAGATAATAGAAGTAATATTGCATAAAATTGATAAAAGATAGTCGGATCGACGTTATTTAATATTGGTCGATGGATCGTACGATTAATTAGAGCAGAATATAATGAGATTCTAATATAAGAGAAATATCAGATAATTGTTTGGCTGCTAAATAATGGCCAATTTTACTAGCGCAAATTAAGCCGTACCATAAATCGCGCGTAATTGCACCTGTGTGAATTTAGTTGAACTTCCAGTTCGATTTGCGGACGATCTGCAAGATGGGTGTTTTTTTTTCGATACAGATGGAATACTCGGAAAAAATGCGCGTCTGTAACTAACTATGCTTCAAATTAATGGACAGAAACATAGGAAAACACAGGAAAAGCATAAACCCCTTTTACTTCATCGGGTCTGAACAAATTAATTGGTGACTTACTTGAAAAGCTCGCAACTGCGCGATCGATTTAGTCTATGACTTACGATTAAACCCTTTGGTTGTCAATCACTACGATGAAATATCTAGTTATAGTAGCCTAAGAAAGCAGGCGAAGTGTT